AATTTCTCTTCAAATTTTGAGATATCGTGTTTCATTTCTAAGTTTTTCCAACTCCATTTTTTGCTTCCATTAGCTTCCTTACCATCTTCTGAAGCTAAAGCAACAAGAACTAAGTCTTAAGGTTCACTGAATTGCTTTGATCGAATCCAATTTTCAAAACCTCCAATCATCATTTGGACAAGGTAGTTTTGAGCATCTTTTGGACTCAAACAAGTTACCACGATGTAGCATTTTGCCTCCCGATTGTTTCCCCCACTTACCTTGTACTGATTGTTCATATTAGTCATTTAATTTTTATTTTTGTGCTTTCTTGTTTCTCTGAGTTTCCATTAAATTCTCCATGCTCGTTTTTAATAAATGAAAATGAAGCCTATTGTTGAGTTCACACTGATGAGACAGTCACAATGGCATAGGTTTCATGATCTAACTTTGCTATTTTCAGAACTCCGATGAGCAACTCACCAGAGAAGATGACCGAAAGTGCTTCATGGTGGCCTGAGTTTGTTTTATTTCAAATATGATCCAACACGTTCTTTTATTTAAGGTCCACCATGTCTTTCATGTTTTAGACCTTTAGATCTCTTTTAATAAGATCTGATGGCTACGTGCTCTTTGTTTCCTGGCCATTAATCAGATCTGGTGGCTCTGGTTTTTTCAGCTTTCTTATTTCCTTTTAATTGTTTTTCTTTTCTCATTTTATTTTGAAAATTCATAAAAAATAGCTTCATTCACATTTTTCACTCCAACCTTTTTTTTCCTCATAATATCCTAAAACTATTTTCTATTTTTTGAGCATTTTTTCCATATTTTTATTTCATGATTTTCTATTTTTCATTATTTTCTTCATTTTTCATGCATTTTAATTTGTTTAAAAATATTTTCATGCATTTTTAAATTCTCCAAATTTTTTCATGTGATCCTTGACTTGGTTCTGATTTGTCATAATTTTTTTGAGCTTTGATTTGTTGTTTAGAAGCTCCATTCTCATTTTCCCTCTTATTTTCATTTTAAAATTAATTTAAAAAATTCATTTCATGCATTTTTAATTACTTTTTATTGCATTTTGGTTTGCTTGTTGGATGTTGCCTTGGATCATAACTTGTTGATCAAGTTTCTCTTCAATTTCAATGGACTTTGGTTATTGATGAGGTTGGATGAACCATCATCAATTCAAATCTATGATTAAGTGAATCATTTGATTCATTTGTGGTGATTTGAGTTGATGATGAATGGATCTTAAGACTTGATTCAGTTTGGTCCTCTTTTCATCTTTCTTTCTCCTTCTTTTTATTTTTCTTTTCTCTTGATCAATTGGATGATGTGTTGTTCATCTTGTTCATGATGTTTGGGTTGATGCTTGATGAAGTTTCATCATTGATCCTAAGTTGTCATGAAGGATTAAATGATGTAATGGACCAATCTCATTGCCTTAGTGCTTGATCCCTCCTTAGTTTTTACTAGTGCTACATGTTTAGGAGTATGATTTCTATCATATCTCTAACATGTATGGTACATAAATTGTTATTGACCGGCCTCCCATAGTATGACCTTCCTTATAGATTGTACTACGATTGCTTAACATAACGCTAAATTTGTCCCGTATCGGATTATTAACTCTAACATCAATACTAACCATATTATTGTGCTAATTTTTACTTTAAGCAATTTACTTTTATGCACCTCTATTTTTATATCATTTATATTTCTTGCTCTTTATATTGCTTTACTCTGATCATTTACATATCATATTGCTTTTGTTTATGTTTATGCCGTTTTCCTTTTGTCCACTTGGACTTTCTTTTTTTAATCTTTATTTTAAGACATTAATAAAGGCTAAACCCTAAAATACTTAATGATTCCATTGAACTATTGGTTACTATCCCATGCTTAGATGTTGGACTTATGGACTTAGATTTAAGTTCTTGATTCTTTGCTTTGGAGTTGTGACTTGAGACCTTGGAATTCATTTGGTACCTTTGACCTTGGGTTGACTTTTTTAAGAATTGGTTTGTGCTTTCCTCATTTGATTACTTGATGTTTAATCTAAAGGATGAGAATGTTGGCTTGACTTATGTCAGAAGCTTGCTATCTTGGTTAAACCTTTCCTTTCTTTACTTTTACTTTATGCATTAGGGTAGCCTTTTCATCTCCTCCCCTTCTTAAAATTTCAAAATCTTCTCCCATTTTTTAAACCTTCTTGTTTTCAAACTTGAACCACTCTCTTAATAAACATTGACTTTGTCAAGTGATTTTCAAACTCTTTTTCTTTAATAATTACTAATTCATCTTATGCATATCAAGACCATTTTCATAAAATATAAAAAATACTCAACTCACTCAAACCATTTTGTGCCCTTTGTGCAATTTTCTTTTAAAACCTTTTCTCAAGGTTTAGACATGAGTAATTTCCATAGTTGAGATTTAATCATCTTATCCCCATGGTGATGTTTGATGTTGATTCTTTTCCACTTGAGAGAGTTAGTGGCATACTTATTGATCTCTATCCAAGTTGGAGCCCTTCTCAATAGTGACGCAAGAGACCATTTTCATATACTCGTGGGTGATTAGTTGAGTTTTCTCCTTAAAATGACAACTTATCTTTTCATTTAAAATCAATCAAAATAAATCACTTTTGTTATTTTTACCACCGACTACGAGGTTTTAATCCTCCATTGCACTTTGTGGGGGTACGTAGGCACGAGGCTCAAGAAGTCTTGTCAAACACCAAAAAATCTTAAAAAATATTTCTCTTCTCATCTCCCCAATATTTTGCAAACAACACATTTTAAGTCAAACATATATTTTCAAGAGCTTCCTATAGAGTACTATATATGTTTTGTGTGCTAAAACCTTCTCATTGCATAACCAACCCCCTTACCCTTTGTCTCTCTGTTTTATTTTAAAACTTTTGTGGGTTTTATTCGCTATTTTTTCCATTTCTTTAGAAACAATAAAGTGTGGTGGCGATGTCATACCCCAAATTTGTCCTACCTGTTTCAAATTTTCATTTGTCTGACTTTATTTTCAATTTGCATCGCTTGTACAACATGACGTGCTTTTCAGCATGAATAATTCCTAAAATGATTAGCCAAAATAAATTCTTGGATATACAGATAGATCGGTGAATTTATTTCTCAAACTGTGCGTAAAATTAGTGTACGAAAAGTTTTAAAATCGAACTTGTAGAAGTCAGTATTCTTGATCTATGTTTCGCGTAGTTCAGCCTGGTGTGCTCATTTTAATTTTTCAACTATTTTTTGGTCACTTTTTTTATCAGTTGAGCCTTTTTACCGGTCCGAATTGATTCTCAAATCTGACTAAACAATGTATTTTTTCCAAGTTGTTTATCGCACACCGATCTATTTAGTGCATTCAGTTTAATTTTTTTTTGAGCATTCTCGCGCTCGACTTTTATTAATCTTAGATTCATTTTTATTTATGTTTTTTTGTTACCTAAAATAATCATTTGAATTAATCAATTAATTGAATGATTAATTTGAATTTATGATATTTTATTTTGGTTTTAATTTAATTACTAAGCTTATTTTTAGTATATAAAGATAATAGAAAAAAAATAAAAAAAGAGAAGACAGAAGAATTAAAAGTGGAAACGAGTAAAACGTTGGGACCAAGTTTCTTTCCACTCTCATTCAGAATTCAGTACTAAGACGACCACGTGGATGTTGTGTGTGGTGGAATTGGTACACAATTTACTACTCTTACAAGGACGTGTGACAGAGAGGCCTGAGAGAAAAAAGTGATAACGATTTTATGCTGATGACCACCACTTGTACCCTACAACTCTCCACTAATTATCTCTCTTTGTTTCCAATGTAAAAAAAGACCACCACTAAACAGTTTTTTTGACTGTTCTACCCTGTTCTGAAATAAAAAATTCTATAATACTCCAGTTTGAAATTTCTTTACGGAACTACCCCACTTTAGTAGAAGCTCGTCCACTGAATGGGCGAGGAGGTGTAGCGAAAAATGGGCCTGTATGAGTTCGTCCACTTATTAGGCGAGCTAGTGCTTTGCAAAGCTGGGACTATGGAAGGCGTGTGAAGTAGCCTTTTTTTTTAAAATTTTTTTTTCTGTTTTATTTATTTAATGATTTACAAAATATATTTTAAATACTATAATTAATAATTAATACAATTAATAATTAATATTATAATAATATATTTTAATAATTTCGTAAATATATTTTAAATAATTACTATATTTTTAATAATTAATAATAAATTTTAAAAACTAAAAATATTATACTATATTAATAATAAGTTTTAAAAATTAAAAATATTTTAAGAATATTAAAAATATTAACTCATTAAAATATTTTTCATTAAACTAAAAAATTATATATTAAATTAATTTAATTATATTTATTTTATATGAAATAAAAAAATAATGAGTGATGTTCGCACATGGAGGTTTGAATTTTTGACAGACTCCCGGTCATTGAATGACCGAGCTTAAAGGTAATTTTTTATTATAAATAGACGTATTGCGCATTAACAAATATCATTCATGTCCAGTGATCTGTTTTATAAAAATGTCTGTGCAAGCTGTTGTTTTTTATGGACCAGGAAAAAAATCAGTGTTTACCTAGATCCACTGTGGAATTTCAGAACTGTGGTTGCAGCAATTAACACGGGGTTTCGGCAGTTGGGCGGTCGTCGCATGATGGTGAGAAAAATGGAGTATCGTTGTCCGTATATAACGCTGATTGATGCTAGCCCAGAGGGTACATACATGTATTACTTAGATTGTATAGAAAATGATGAAGATGTCCATTGCATGTTTTCAGCACATAATGGTGAAGTCAACAGAGGAGTCACGGATCCACTTGTGTTGGTCGCTGTTGTTTGTTAGAGTTTATGTTAGCTTCCTGAGTTTTATTTCTAAATTTATGTTTGTAATTTGCTGGTATTGTTGTAATTTGAAAGTTGTTTTGAATTAAAAATAATTGTTGGATCACATACAAAACTAGTACAATAAAATTATCTTTTTGGTCGGTTTGACGGACCGACAACATTGGGACATCTTCTACGCATATGACCTATTTCTCTGCAAATCCCACACCTTCTCTTCTCTTTTTCAACGTCGTCCATCTCAGTTCTAATTCTACTACTGGTTGGACGTCCCTTTTTATTTCTTCTCATGGAATCGTCGTGGCATAGAGTAAAACCTTCATATTTTGGCCAGTTCTCCTCGTGCGGTAGTCCCAGGAAGCATTCCTTGTAGACCTTGAATATGTTAAGAACTGTGAAGACCTCTGGAATGTGAATTGTGTAGTCTTGTCGTATGCTAGAACATGCCGCTATCACGTGGGAGCAAGGCAAGTGAAATGCTTGAAATTTTCCACAGTCACACAAACGATTCCTCAAGTCAACGCTGAAAGTACCCGTTGGACGACCATCATTGTAATTAATCTTTTCCTGCACCATGAAACATAATTTTTCATGATCAAATTGCATGACGTTGTGTGTGTTAGCCTTGGCTACCTCATCAGCCATTCCCTTGTTACAACCATCTGTGAAAACTTTTCCTGAAGATAGCATTTTGGTCCATTTGTGTCCTTGTTTACCAAAGAGTGAACCCATCCGATAGTATGTAGAGTGGACCAATGTAGTGATTGGAAGGTTTCTTGTTGTCTTTAGAACAGAGTTTATTGCCTCTGTCAAGTTAGATGTCATATGTCCCCAATGTTGCCCTCTGTCAAATGCTCTAGCCCACTTCTCCCTAGGAATGTTGTCTATCCAATTTGAAGCCTCAATGTTTGTTCTTCTGATTTCTTCACGATAGTAATTAAATGTAGCCTCCATCAATGTGTAACCTGTAACAGAAATTGTGTGAAAAAATTGATAAAAGTGTGCTACAAAACTTGAGATAAGTGAAATTTATTTTGTTACCCATGTTAACAAGTTTTTTGCGTAGATCCTTGTCCTTAATCTCGCACATGAAGTTCTGAGCAATGTGTCTTATGCAGTAGACATGTGAAGATGGTGGATGTTGCCATAAGTTTTCGGGATTGTTGTATGCACTCTTTATCGATTCATGTCTATCAGATATTAGACACAAATTAGGTTGTGGTGTCACGTGTAATCTTAGGTTCCTTAGAAAAAAGCTCCATGCTTCCTTTGTTTCACCTTCGACCAATGCGAATGCTATTGGGAAAATATTTGCGTTGCCATCCTGTGCCACCGCCATCAATAGAGTTCCTCTGTACTTGCCATACAACCAAGTTCCGTCTACTTGCACAATGGGCTTACAGTAGGCGAAGCCACGTATACACAGACGAAATGCCCAAAACAGACGATGGAATATTCGTTTTCCAGAGATTTGGGAACCATCACTTGATATCGCAGGTAGGGTTTGCAAATCTATACTGGTTCCTGGAAGGAAGGTTTTCATTACCAGTATCCACTGTGTCGCGGTGAAATTTGGATACCAAGCTATTGATTAACTTGAATCTTAATTTATTTGCAACCGGTCTTTAAATTGTCCAAAGGAAGGGAAAAAGATCGAATTACCCACAATGCAATGCAAATGCAAAAGCTAGAGAGTTATAGGTTCGGGGGTTGGTTAAAATTAGGGAAGGTGCTAGCATCCTAAGTTTCTGTAGTACTCTATAGGAACCTCTTGTTTTATGTTGTTTACTGCTAAGGGTTATCTGCTTAAAGGGTGAAAGACCTAATGGTTTATTTCTAAGTATACTCGACAATATATCACATCTTGTGCCTACATATCCTGACGGGAGTGGAATCAGAGTATTTGTAGTTCCCCCTAAAGGGTTTGAGGAGATCTTTGACTATGGTCAAAGTTCCTAAGGGATAATGGTAGTTGATTGATTGGGTCTAGGAGAAAAGACGAGTTGTCATCTCGAGGGAGAAGACTTGACTTAGCCACCACACCTTGTAGGAAAAATGATTGTATTGTTATGAGGCAGGAGATTTATATCTCGACTATCAAGATGACTCATGTCTTGTTCTCTAATGTGTTTGAATAGTTTGATTGAGTTGATTTGCTTTTTTGTCTAAGCTGTAAAATAAAAGACAAAGGTCCTCCTATGGGTAGGATCTATCTTAAAAGATCGACTTGAATGTGATCAAGGATCAACGAGAATTATGGTGCAAATGATATGCATACGCGCAAGTTTTACGTTACGCGTAAGTTCTTCCTTTGGACGTTATGCAATACGGTAAAGGAGATACAATAAATAAAATAGATAACATAAAAATGTGTAAATAAATCCATACACAAACGCATGAAAGCGCTAAGTGAGTGCGTGAATTGTGCATACGTGCGTGGAATTGATGCGGGACGTAAGAAATCGTGCGCGCGTTGGTTAATTTATGGCGAAGTTGAATTTAAGAGAAATAGTCGTATGAAAGGGTGAATTAGTTTGTAAGAAAGTGTTATATTAATCTTAATTATGAATTTAAACCATAAGTTGATTAGTTTTAATAAAAGTATGTTTTAATTATTATTATAAAAAGGGTGGACCAATTAACAGAGTATTTCTTAAAAAAGTTATTAGTAAATGATATCATTATTAAAAGAGAAATGGGTTTTAATTATTAAATAAAATTTTGTGAGATAAATAAATGTTAATAAGTTGTTTAAAAAAAAACTAATAAAAAGTTAATCAAATTAATTAATAAAATAAATAGATTTTAGGTTATTAGAGGCTGATTTATTAAACATAAATATTAGTCAAAATAGTTAAATAAAAGGGTTAAATTAATTAAGAGGTTTTTGGGTTAATTAAAAGGTCAAATGATGATTAGGGGGATGATTTAACAATTAATTAATGGTTAATGGGTTAATGGAGATAATTAGGGAGTTGGGGGCGAGTGATCTAGTGTAGTACTCCGACGAGGGTTTATGGTGGGTTGCGTAGGTGTGGCCGTATGATGAGATCCGTTGGAGATCTGCGGTGATGTGTGTGAGGGTGTATGGTAGTTATCGTGTGTGCGTGCGCGTGAGATTATTATTTTACATTACAAGATAACAACACAAAAACAGCTAGAAGAAACCCTTATCCCTTCCCCCGATCCAACTCGCGACGCTGTTAACCTTCTCCCTCTCTTCGCGATTTCGTCGCTGATCGCTCCCTCATCTTCTTCCGCTTCCTTCGTTCCTCCATTATCTCTTCATCTCCTCCCTCCTCCTTTAACCATTTTCGATAACCTGCGAATCAAATAGACATCAAACATGCAAGAAGCTTCGAAAGAGAAAGAAACCTTTACCCAAGAACAAAAGTTGACGGCAGCTGGTTGACAGTGGCGGCGAAACGACGACGCGGCCCGCGAGCTCCTTCTCCGGAATGGCGATGATGAGTTTCAGAGTCGATCTGAGCTTCGTGACTGTGAGAGTGTTCTCCAATCTTGGACTCTAAGCGTCTTTGTCTTTGTTGCCACAACGGTTTTCTTCCCTCCTCCTTCTTTGGGTTTTCTTCGTTGATTTTATAAGTGAGACTCGTGGGCCTCCATTGAAAATTGTCTTAAATGACATTCCTATTTGGTGAATTATGTCTTATCTTATTGATGGTTTGGGAGACACTAATTAATCCCCTTCTTATCTCGTCTGATTCTGCTGGCTCCAGTTTTGGGAAGTTTCGAAACTCTCTTTTCGTATTGATTTGTTATATTTGGAACCGTATCTTTGATGCATCTGTTGGCTTTGTTGACTTTTGTGTTAACGCTTTCTTTCTTCTTCTCGCAGGAAATTACCGCGCTTTGAGTTCAGAAACTGCCTTATCTTGAGCTTGCTGAGGAAAGTTTTGTAACCGAAAATGATGACGCTTAGTCTGAGTTGGACGAAACTATGGTTATCGTTGCTTTGATTTTTGATTTTTGCTACTTGAGTCTCCCCTGTTGCTTGCCTTATCTGAGTTTCTCGAGTTATCTCTGTTGTTCGAATTATATGAGGCTTGAATTTTTTAAGGTTACTGTGGCCCGAAACTCTATTGTCCTGGATGTTTGGTAGGGAGCTGGTAACAACTCCGGTTGTTGTCCTCCCGGCTGCTCGAGTCTGATGATTGTTGCACCCCAAATTTGTCCTACCTTTACATGGTTTCTAGTGCCACTTTATTTCGAATGAATTAAATGACACAATTGGCAAGAGACCGTGTGTGAGGAGTTGTGAGTGTGAGAGGTCGAGAGTTCGAATCTCACCTTCTTCACTTTTTGTTTTTCTTTTATTTTTATTCTAACTTTTCTTAGTATAAATAAATATAATTTTAAGTTTATTTTAAATTATTTAAATTTTATTTAGTTTTAACTAATTATTTAAGTTGGGCTTTAAAGTGAGCATTAGGTTAGAGTTAACCCTAATTTGTTACATATATAAACATAAGTTGTAAAAAGGGAAGGAGACAAAAGGGAAAAAAAACGGCGGTCGTTCTCACGACTTATCAGAAGCGGGGAGATTTTTGAAAAACCTTCAAGGCTTCATCATCAAGATCAAAGATTCACCACCATCGTCCGATAGAAGCTTCGAATCCTGTCGTTATTCCGTAAGAAATTTATCAAAATTGATTTATGGTTTTGTTTTCATGGTTTTTTTTCAGGGACACATTCAGCGGGAGAGGAACCGCACATGCAACGCGAAAGAGATGAGAGAAGCTTTGGAAAAATGGAGCGAAAAGCTCTTTGGAGCTTTAATGGCCGCCATGTGGGACAGAGAGAATGAAGAAGATGAAAAACCCTTATAATAGAATTTGTTTCTTCGTCTTTACAAAAGAAAATAGCAATTTACTGGGACATTATAGGATTTTCTTTTTTTAGAGATTCTATATTTTAGAATTGGAAATATAAGAGAACAAAATTAACTTTTTTAGTTAGTATAGGAGGAATAATTAACTATGACACGTTCACGAACAAAAAATCCTTTTGTAGCCAATCATTTATTAAGAAAAATAAACAAGCTTAACACAAAAGGAGAAAAGGAGTTAATAAAAACTTGGTCCAGAACATCTACCATTATACCTACAATGATTGGGCATACCATTGCTATCCATAATGGAAAAGAGCATTTACCTATTTATATAACAGATCGTATGGTAGGCCATAAATTAGGAGAATTTTCACCTACTCGAAAACTTGGGAGGGTATCCAAAAAATGAGAAAAAATATATTTGTTAATTTACCCTTGGACCTATATTTTTTTACCATATATTTAAAAATACAGGTCATAATCATCATTGAAGTGAATTTTCCCATTCATTTTAGGATACTTTTCGCAATCATCATTGATAAAAATGAACATGATGAGGATTCAGATTAATTAATAAATTACTCAATCTGTTGCAGAATAAAAAGAATTGTATTATTCTGCAACAGAAAAAGAAATAAAGATATAGAAAGTTTAATATAAAAAAAAATAATTATGGATAAACAAAAAGATACCAAGTGGTGGTTATGGGCCAAAAAATACATCCGCTTGTTTTCCGACTTGGTGCAACTCAAAGTAATTATTCTATTTGGTTTGCAAAACCAAAAATGTATTCCGAGAATGTAAAAGAAGATAAAATTATACGATATTGTATCAATAATTTTATACAAAAAACGGTACCCGAATCCTGTGAATTCGAGACCGATATCTCTGACTATGGAATGGGACGAATAAAGATTCAAAAAAGACTCGATCTGATTAAGGTGATAATCTATATGGGACTTCCAGACTCCTTAAAAGAAAAGGTTAAGGATCTAAGAGTTGAACAATTAAAGACTCAAGCGCAAAAAAAGTAACTTGTGGGAACCGAGAACTCGACTTTGAAATTACAAAACTTCCAAGTCCTTATCTTTATAGAGACACTAAAATTGTTGCAGAATTTTTAAGCGAACTATTACGGAATCGAATTTCGTTTCGTAAAGCAATGCAAAAAGGTATTGAATTAGCTGAACAGGCAGATACAAAAGGAGTTCAAATAAAAATTGCGGGACGTATGGAAGGAAAAGAAATTGCACGTGTCGAATGGACGAGAGAAGGTAGGGTTCCTCTACAAACCATTCGAGCTCCAATGGATTTTTGTTCCATTCCACTTGTAAATTTTTTTGGGGTATTCGGAGTCAAAATCTGGATATTTCAAAACTTCTAAACAACGACTAATCAACTTTCCCTTATAACGTTCCATCTTTTTTAAAACAAAAAATGAAAATTTGGAATACTTTACGTTGAAGAAATTACAAAATTTGGAAGATTGAATAAAAAAAATTAATGAATCATTTTAGAATGAAGGAGTTGATATGCTTAGTGTGTGACTCGTTGGTTTTTTTTAGTGTTTCAATTTCTACAAAAATTCGTAGAATTCATTACTATAAAAAACCTACTCATCGCTTCCCATTATCTAGATAGAAAGAACTGCCGAAAATAGAAAATCAAAATAAGGATCTATGTGGTGATATAATTATAGCAACTGAAATAAAAAAATAAAATTATTAGTTGTAAAGCAATAAGAATATACAGATAAATGAAGGGGTGAAAGAAAGCTAGAAAAAGGATATTAATGATATAGAATTCTACTATGTAAAGGTCTATTGGTCATCTCATAAAAAGTAGTGTAATAAAGCATCAATATCCAAAATTCATCCATATATGGATGAATATTAGAATAAACGAATAAAGAGCCACAAATCAAGAAAACTGAGAAGGTTGATTCAACAAAAAAGAATAAAAAAAACAAAATCTTATTAATCTTATTAAAGCAGCTCCATTGTAGAATTTAGACCTAACCATAAATCGAAAAGTGATGGGAACGACGGAACCTGTGAATACAAAAGATTCCATGAAAATTAGAAATCTTACTATTCATTAGATGGGATGGCGAAAGAAACTAAAAATTCATGGTTTTTTGAGGAGTTGTGGACGAACCCAACATTACATCTTCAATTTATAATCAGAGAGTCAATATTCGCCCGCGAAAATCCCGCGATTCTATTTCATTTTCTATTTTAGAAAAAAATATGTATATTAGTGTATATTATTTTAATTATTATTCTTTTTTCGGTTCCAGATTTTTCAATCGATTTATTTGCGAGGAGCCGTATGAGGTGAAAATCTCATGTACGGTTCTGTAATAGAGATGGAATTGAGAAATAACCATCAACTATAACCCAAAAAGAATGAGATTCCGCAAACATCATAGAGGGAAATTAAAAGGAAACGCCTCTCGCGGTAATAAAATTTGCTTAGGAAAATATGCTCTTCAGGCACTTGAGCCCGCTTGGATCACATCTAGACAACTAGAAGCGGGTCAACGGGCAATGTCACGAAATGTTCGCTGGGGTGGACAAATATGGGTCGGCATATTTCCAGACAAACCAGTTACAGTAAGACCTACCGAAACACGTATGGGTTCGGGAAAAGGATCGCCTGAATATTGGGTAGCTGTTGTTAAACCCGGAAAAATACTTTATGAAATGGGAGGGGTCCCAGAAAATATCGCTAGAAAGGCGATTTCAATAGCGGCATCCAAAATGCCTATACGAACTCAATTCATTTTTTCCAAATAATCATTAGAACGAATGTTAGTATGAAAAAAGGAAATTCTCCGTTTCTTTTTTTTTGAACACACAATATTTTTTTTATTTCAACTTTTTGACTGAAAGATAAGAAAAAAGGATATGATTCAACCTCAAACCTATTTAAATGTAGCCGATAATAGCAGAGCGCACGAATTGATGTGTATTAGAATCATAGGAGCTAGTAATCGACGATATGCTTATATGGGTGACATTATTGTCGTTGTAATAAAAAAAGCAGTGCCAAATTCATCGTTAGAAAGATCTCAAGTCATCAGAGCTGTAATTGTACATACCTCTAAAGAACTAAAACGTCGTAATGGTATAATAATCAAATATGATGATAATGCAGCCGTTCTCATTGATAAATAGGGAAATCCAAAAGGAACTCGAATTTTTTCCGCAATAGCCCGAGAATTGAGACAATTAAATTTTACTAAAATAATTTCACTCGCACCCGAGGTGCTATAATCTGATATAATACGTTATACTTGATATTTGATGGAGTATCCCCATGAATCGGTAGTAGGATATATATATATATATATATATATATATATATATATATATATATATATATATATATATATATATATATATATATATATATATATATATATATATATATATATATATATATATATATATATATATATATATATATATATATATATATATATATATATATATATATATATATATATATATATATATATATATATATATTATATAAATATACAGGGGATCCATACATAAATATCCATGGACAAGATCTATGGTCCATATACACACATAGACCTAAGGATACATACATCAAGGGTTATTTTTTTGGAGATTCCATGTACTAATTCATGATTTAACATATACAGAATAAAAGCCTTTCATTTGCTTATTTTCGAGAAAAATATTAAAATAAAAATGAAATATATACTCTCTTCAACCGGGTTATTCTACCTCTTATAAATAAATAAATAAAAAAACAACTTCGTTATATTAGAAAGAAAACCCTATTCTCTTGCACCTAATAGCATAAAAAACATAATTACAGGAGGCTATCATGAACAAAGATATGATCGGAAATATGTTCACATTGTTACGCAATGCGGACATGAATAGAAAAAGAATTATTCCAATACCGTTCACTAAGATGAACGAAAACATTGTTCAAATTCTTTTACGACAGGGTTTTCTTGAAAACGTCAGAAAACATCGAGAAAGCAACAAAAACTTTTTAGTTTTAACTCTAAAGTATAGAAGAAATAATAAGGGATCATATCCTTTGAAAATTTGTTTAAATTTTAAACAGATTAGTACGCCCGGTGTTGCGGTGGAAATAGGATATCAAACTATTAATTAGTTTGAATCACAATTCTTAATTCACAACCGCTCTTTGATTTATCCGAAGGAAAAGGTCAAAAGAGGGAAAACCTATTTTTGCATCGTAAACACAATGCAGGGAGAGACCTAGGTAAGGGGTTGGTTAAATTTAGGGAAGGTACTAGCACCCTAAACTTCTGTAGTACTCTACAGGAACCTTTTGTTTATTGTATGCTATTTTTATTTTATTATCTTAATATATATTGAGCTAAGGGATAGAGTGACCTAAAGACCTAAGGGTTAGTCCTAAGTTTACTCGGCAAGACATTGCATCTTGTGCCTACGTATCCTGGATAGGGAATGGAATCAGAGTAATCGTAGTTCCCCTTGAAAGGGAGGTTAGAAACTTCTTGACTGTGGTCAAGGTTTCGATAGGGAGTAAGCATTTCTTAAGGAAACGCTTACGTGGAGTCTTTGAAACTCCAATTTCTATGTTAAAGTTGTTGAATTGAAATTAGGGTTAAATTAGGGATTCCACGACGGGAAACCCTAAACAGAGTACGGCGACTCTTTGACCTAAAGCTAGGGTAAAGGGCAATTTTTTCCACGGCGGGACACCTACGCTAATTAGGGTTTTGAAATGGTTGAAACTAGGGTTATTGACTCGGCGGTCAAACTGTTAATCCTAATTCCTTCGGAGGGATTAACGATAAACATGTAAACAGAGAAAGTATTGTATAGCACAATTAAAATGCAGAAAAGTAAAGCAAGAAGAAAACATTGCGGCCGTTCGCGTAACTTACAAACCCCCATGGGCCAAAAAAAATAATGCAACGCAGAAAAATAAACAAATAAACCGCGACCATGGCCTCGCGTAAATTACATCCATGGAACAAAATAAATTGAGCAAATAATTTAAATAAATTGAGGAAAGAAACAGAGAATATTAGCGAAAAGGGTTAGACAGAAATTCATGGCAAATAATAAAATAGCGAAAAAGAAAAAAAAATACGAATTTGGCCTTTAATATTATTATATTTTTATAAAAAAAAACTTTAATTTTAATATTTGAAAGAGACGTTAATTTGAATTTTAAAAGAAAATGTTTGGGTTAATTTTGAAAAAAAAAAGGTTGAATTTTAACTTAAAAAGTTTTTTAGTTTTAATTTTGCAAAGAAAAGAATTTTATTCCTAAAATTTTTAAAAAAGGGATTTAGTTTTATTGTAAAAAAAAAACATTTTGGTTTTTTATTAAAAAAGATTTAAAGTTAATTTTTTTTGTTTAATTTAAAAATATTTTGATTTTTGACATTAAATTCAATAACAACTCTAATTAACTAATATTATCCTAAGTTTTATTTACAAACAATCTCCCTTTTTTCTTTTTTTTTAGATGACTTTTAGTTTTTTAAATATTTTTACCTAAAAAAATGATTGATAATTACACCAAAATAAATTATGTTGACTAATGCTATTATTGAACTAAAACAATAAAATAATAACTTAAAAATAATATAATAAAAAGAATGAAGACAAACAAAATGGGAAAGGAATTAAAGGGGGTGGGCATACGGTATATTTCTGCATTAAGGTCATTAAACCACTTATTTAAATTTGAATTCTCCTTCTTTATTAAAAATGATTAAGGTCATTAAACCACTTATTTAAATTTGAATTCTCCTTCTTTATTAAAAATGATGAATGATGATGATTTATTATTTTTGTTTTAGAATTTTATTTAAAAGGAAAGTTGTCTAAACTTTTAAAAAAGGGTCTAATATTTTAATTAAGAATAAAACTTTAAATTTAAATTTTTGCATTTTTTGTAAAAGAAAATTATTTTTATGTTAATGTTTTATAAAAAATTCGTTTTAAATTAATAAAATGTTTTAAGTTTAAGGTTTTAATTATGAAAAAATTTGTTTTAACTTTTGTTTAAATTAAAAAAAAATTGTTTTAATCTTAATGTTAAAAATAGTATATTTTTTTATATTTTAAAATGAGTTTAAAATTAGGCCTTTTAAATTTTAGTTAAAAAGAATTGTTTTAATTTTAATGTGAAAAAACAAATATATTTTTCATTTAGAGAAACTTAATTAACTAGCCATTATGTTATCATAATTACAATTATTAAAACAATATAATAAATCAATAAAATAATTAAAAAGAAACAGCATAGAGAAAAACCAGAACAGAATACAAAAAGGGTGAGATGTGAGTTGTCTCGATATTTGCTTCCGTTGAAGCTTTTCAAATCCACTTCTTTGACCTTGCATGTGAACGATTTCCTCATATCTCTGAAACACAAACACAGATTAATGATTATGACAAACAGAAATCATTCTCACCCGAAGAGGAACGATGAAGCTGATGATGTCCTCCTGAGGCTATAGAAGCTTGGCCGGTGTGGAGGCTCCGCTGCTTCCGCCGCTTCCGCCGCCGCTTCGATGTGGGAGCAACGATACCTCCACCCTTCTTCCTCTTCTTTATGGATCGGTGGTTATGATGAAGCTAAAGCTTCTGAATCCCGTTGTCGGTCGGCAATGATGGTGGAAACGATTCCTCTGAGCTGCCGATTTTGAGTTGGTTCTCCTTTGTTGTTAGGGTTCGAATCTGATGCCTTCCTAATTTATATGTTCGACCTGTGTTTGTTGGGCTTGCGATCCATTTGCAGATGTGCGATTTTGTTGGAAAACCTCGATGCTGTTTGTGCGGATTTGACGCCACGATTTTCCAAAATGGTTTATTTTGTTTTAGCTTTGATGGTTAACTACCTTTATTGCAGGATTTTTGGGCGATTTTGTTGTTGCTGCTCAACTGGTTTTGGGTGACTTGTTCGTTGAGAACCTATTTCGTTTTTGCCGCCTTGATAGTAGCGTTAACTCGCAGGATTTTCAAACGGTCCCGCGGCTTGCACGTTGGATTTGTTACGTTGATTCTGAAAATTACTTTTTGAACCGGTTTCTCTTTAAACTGTTGGAACTTGAACTGGTTTCTCGGAACTGGTATGAACTGTTTGGATTTGGATTTTTCTGAACCTGATTCTGAACTGATTTCAAAATGTTTGGATTTGGATTTTTCTGGTATGAGCCGGTTGGATTTTTTGTTAGAATTGTGTTTTTTTTTCAGGACGATTGGAGTTAAGGTCCCATTTGGGGCAAACCGTCTTCCTGAGAAAAATCACTTCTCAAATCGGCTTTTCAAATAAGCTCTTGTCTATATAATCTCTTTTTGGCCAAACAATCTCAAAAGCAATTTTCCTCTTCATCTTTCGGTGCCTTTCGATAAGAACAAACATCTTCCCTGTTCTGGCCGAGGTTCGCGAACCGGACACCCGATGATGATATCTCTGAGGGTGTCAAATTAACTGATTCAATTTTCCTGTTTTGCTCATTGTGCAGGTTTGGAATGACTAATCGGACGAGGCAGAGAAATCTGAAGAAAAACTTAGGACCTTTTTAGAAATTTTATATTTTTTGTATTTTGTAATTCATTAATTTTTATTATTTATTATTTATTTATTTTTTTGTAAAAGAATTATCACTATTAATAAAATATCTTATTATTTATTTTTTTAAGATATTGAAACACTTAAAAATATTATTATTATAAATTTCTATTTTTTTATTTTACATGCAAATAATGAAAACCAAATTTAAGAGGTAGACTTTTGT